TATAAATCTAACTACATTACAAATCCTAACAAACTAAACGAACGAAAAATGGTACCTACAACATTTTTACAGTGTTTACAAAGTCATAAATAAGTTAATCTTTCCAATATGTGTACAAAGTTTTCTTAAATGTATTAATATTCAATCATCAATTAATAAATTATAGTTTGTGTTTTTATTATTGTTTAAATTTGAAATTTAATATTATGTGAACTTTTTTTTTTTCACAGGTTCTTGATCGTCTTCTGTTTTATTTACGTATAGTCCATTCCATGGATTATTATAATGCCAGTGAATACCCCATTGAGGATGAAATGCCAAACCGATGTGGTATCATGCATGCTAGGGGAGCTAACCCACCCAAGGGACTCACAGAAAAAGATGGTAATTTTTGTTCTCTCTTCCTATTGAAAACTGGATTTTTCCATTGCCTAACAGGTGTATTACCTATAAGTTGTACCTAGTGTCAAGCATTTGAACATTAGCTGTTAATATGTTTTAAATAAATGTTTTTAAGTTTTTAACAGTTTTGATATCAGCAAAACAGGTGCTCTTGTTTTTGACTACATAAGAAAATTTTGACAATATGCAACAAATTTCAAGAAAATAATCTTCTCTCAATTCTGGACTTCATCAGTGTAAGGTTTTTGTTTTCTTTGTGAATTTCAGTAAACGAGTGGCAGACAAACTTCGAAAAAAAGATTGTGCCAATGTTGCAGACTAAGTCAGCCGTTGACGAGACGGAATGGACAAAGCTTGGCAAAAAACAATCGGAAAGATATCCTTTCATTTAAAGAATATTTACAGCATGTTTACTTGGTTCACTGAAATAATTAAGCCTGCATTTCTGTGAGCATTTAATCATCTTTTATTTGTAGTTACTGAAGTTTCACTGAATTTCGAAACAAGTGCTTAGGTGCTTTTTTAAATATGTTTTTCAATTTGATAATCATTTTCAGGGGACGATTTAGGGGTTCCCCCCCCCCCCACTTTTAGAAAGTCGAAAAAAAGAAAAAATTTATTGCCCAAAATCTAAGTCGTAGTTATTTTATTCGGACCCACTTTCGCGCACCCTCCCCCTCTTTTCGGGCAACTCTGGACCCACCTTTGATTTCAACATTAATAGTTCTAGGCACGTTCAGGCGAGTTAGAAGTACTGTAAATTTGAAGTAGCAGTCTACTTGTTGTAAGCCCTGGGTAGTGCCTGTACTCTTTGTATTGGGTTACTTCAAAGTTACTACAGACCATTAACTTATAAGAAGTTTCAGGAGTAAGTGTGCTGCTTACGCGTGCACAAGGAATGTAAGGAATACATGCTCAGAGTAACGTTTTCTTCATGCATGGAGAGAGCATGTTCGACTTGTTCATTAACAAGTTCTCAGAGAGGATCGTAAGCGCGGGCACGGACGGCGGCAGCAAAGGAGGCACAACAGCATCGACCCAGCAGTAACTAAACTCGGCGTGGCCGACACGGAATGCGACATCCACACAGAGCCTGCAACAAACTTAGCATCAGGCCAATGCAAGCAGACCTCGCATCGCGATCCTTGGTCACATGAGTGATGGCCCAACTTCATGTTAGGCCTAGGCGAACAACAAACAGCAGGAAGCCGCCTGCGAAGTGAAAGCATGTGGCTTTGTTTTTGCTGTAATATTTTTGTTTCACTATTCAGCGGATAAGCTCTATACTCGCTCATGGTGACAGGAAATTTGAGGCTTGTTATATAACTTCCTAATTTCCATTAGGAATCTGACTTGCAAGTACATACAACCTTTATTATGACTCACCATTTTTTCAGAAGATAATAACCTACAAGACGCTTTAAAACAACATTTCCCGATGTAAACCTCTTTTAACAATTTTTCATTTCTTTTTGGTAGTTTCTAAGTGGCTTAAATGTGACTTTTGAGACGGTTATTATTGTGGTGCTATAAAAATACATCACCATCGGCCATTGAGTGTTTTGTGCCATTCCAAATCTGTGAAGGTGTTTTTATCATCATCACCTAAGCTACTAGAGTGTAGCTTACAGATGGTGTGATGTATGTTTTAGCAAGCTGCTGTTGTTTTTATAAGGTCATTTTATATACCTTTTTGACTAGTAGTTATTCAATGAGGTGATGATGCATCATTTATTCCTATTTACTATATACCAAATATTATTTTACCTATTGGTAAATGATGAGGCATTCATTTGCTGAATTCTAAATCTATGTTTTCCTTGACCACCTTTGTTTACTGAAGTTGAAAAGTTTGTTCAAGCCAACACTCAAGAACTGTCGAAAGACAAGTGGCTCTGTCCATTAAGTGGTAAAAAGTTTAAAGGGCCTGAGTTTGTGCGCAAGCACATCTTCAACAAGCACAGTGAGAAGATAGATGAAGTCAGGAAAGATGTAAGTTTACTAGGGTAGGCCACAAGGTTAAACCATCATCAGTACATGCTAATTTATAAGGTAAAGGTAAAGGTAAGAGAATAACCCATTAACTTGCAGTGTCATTGTGCTGAATTGCGTATTGGCGTGGTCCGTGACTACGTAGCAGCCGTAGAGCGCTTGTAGTAGCTACATGTTCATATCATTCCACGACGACAGGCTGAAATAAACTACTGTGTAACATCGGGGTAACATCCTACTCTTCCGAAAGATCCAGTGGGGTCTTTAAAGTGCATGTGAGCCAGATGTGTACACTGGGCCTCGATTTTTAAGTCCTTATCCGAGAAGACTGGTTCCACCAACCGAACCATGGGCAAGGAGCAGCTGGAACCAGCGCCGATGTTAAGGCTGTTGCTAGCGGCGCCCCTGCTTTACCGCTCGGCTACTGGACTCGCCCATAATGATTACCTAACCTAATTTCATAAAATCAGTATGTTGATGTGAAGAGTGATGCTATAATTTTATACTTTAGATTTATGGTGTGCAAAATTTCTTCATATACCTGTATTTAATATGATATTTAAAGTGATCAACTAGATAATGAGTACTGGCTTGCAGATCAAGGTAAAAATTATTCAAAAAGCCTCTACAACAGTTAGAAATATATTTGGAAAATGTAAGAACAATGGACCTTTCCAGGGTGTCAGTCAAACTTAACAATTGAACAAGTAGAACAGGGCCAAGAATACCGTACACATTTCCCCACATTTCTCACAAATGCAGATGTTTATGTACACCCTTATGTTATTCTTTATTGGGACATTACCAACAATATCTGAGGGATGGGGCTTAGTGGAAAGGTTCCTTAAAGTAAACACAAATGTTAACACTGCAAAGTCATTGACACATGATATAATTTCCTGCCCAATATTTTCCAGCTTACTAAATCAGTATATTTATTGATACATTTTCTGATTAGGTTGAATACTTCAACAACTACTTGAAAGACCCAAAAAGACCTCAGCCTCCAGAGCCTACCGTAGCAGCTAAGCCAGCACAGTCTGCTAACCAGGGAGGAGCTAGTCATGGGAGTGCCCAAGGGGGCTATCAGCCCCATCAGAGCCAGAACCATGGAGAGAGTGGATTCAGACACAGCTGGGGAAACCAAAACCGTAAGTTCCAAGTATTCAACTGCATTTCAGAAATGGTCTAAATTGGGTTTATGATTTGCGCGCTTGTTCGATATCTTTCTTTTGGCATGATTGATTATATTTTTCTTAATATAAGAAACTCATATGTTCATAAATTATTAATGTGTATAATTTCATTATTAGTAGATAGAAAATACATTATTGATTGTTAATGTTATACCTTTTCAGAAGGATTTGATAGAGGTAGTCACCATGACAACCGCAACCAATATGGAGGTGGTTTTTACAATCGTGGTCAATCTTACCAGGGTGGTAACCGGTAAGTACATTTATAATTACTGTACTATACTATCATTTGAATATCTTTGTAGCTGTGTCGTAAAGGTACTCGCATCAAATACAGAGGATGTTAGGTTAAAATTTAAGGCCAGACACACATAAACTTAATCAGTTAACACTTTATAATGGGATTTTTTTCCATCTTTCTCCGACAACCCTAATGTTCGCTAAACAAAGTATTAAATGGTTGCGCTTTAAATTTTATTTAATTGAACACTACTTTCCAAGTATTTTGTAAATTGTTGTGAAATGTTTTTTCTTCCAGACAAAGGAGAGACCCTCGTCCTCTGATTCAGTACCGGGATTTGGATGCACCTGGTGATGACGATATATTCTAAACCAATAGGCAACTTTCTTAGAAATGAAAGTGCTTCCAATCAGCTAATCTGAAACTGTATTTAACACGGAATCTGATTAGATAATTTTATTAATTGCTGAATATTTTGTACATACAGTATCTTGCAAACCATGTAAAGTTTGAAAGACAGGATTGCCAACAATTGATTTAAGAACTTCATGGATAGTATTTGTATTAGTAGACCACCAGTCATTTGTTCTCTGTTTGAACCTTTTACATTTTTGTATTTTCACATACTGTAATTAACTTTTGATTTGTGAATGTTTTTCCCTTTTGCATTGATAATGAACAATTTAAAATAATGCTCAACCAGTAATTGAGTACCCCAGATGCTTAACCCTATTATCAAATAGTACATAGAACTGCAAGAGATCCGACTGCCCTTATTTTGTATGCAGGCAATCAAACGTTACAAAGTACTGCTACGTAGGGGCGTGTCCTTCAAAAGAACGTAAATATGCGTGCTGTATTTCGAAACTCGAACATACTTTCTGTAGACGCGCAGCACACATTCGATACGAACACCTTTTGAAGGACACGCCCCTTCATGGAATTAATTTTTGAGATCGGATTGCATTCCAATGAAACCCTGACAGTTGGACCTCTTGCATTTCAATACCCTTATGCTATTATGTATTATAGTAACAAATGAATTGGTCCCCTTTTTGATACCTTATTGTCATGTGTGCTCCATCAAACTGCATGCATCCATAACAGTAGTCAATTTGATCAATTTCCTATTACCAGTTATAGATCATATTGAGCTAGCTAATTTTTTTTGTCATCCAGGCAGTGGTGTATTTACAGGAGGGTGTAGGGCCCTAAAAAAAAAAGCTTGTGCCCCTACTGGAAATATGCTGAGCAAGAAATCTATCCTCAATTCATTGAAAAGGACCTCATATCACCTAAATTGACCAGCTAGTCCCCTAACTTAATCATAAGCCTCACCTCTTAACCTTCTCACGCTTAGGTATGCCACTGCATCCCAGGAGATCACAGCTGCACCAATCCCATGCATGAAGTAACTTGGTTCGTTCACTGCAAGTAGTGGTCACTATGTAACCAGGCTGCAAATATTCATAGTATTATTGTATTTTCACAATATTTCTTTTAAGGTTTGAACAAATAATATGGTTATTAAGGTGTTACAAATAGCAGTGTCTCTTGTTTCTGCGTTGATGATGTGTAACAGGGATCAACATTTCTATTTAATTCTCTATTGTAGTTTGTATATATTTTACACCAGTTTTATTTACATTGTTTGTGAATGAAACTTCTGGTACAAAATGTCCTATTAATACTGGACCAAGTTAAACATGCCATCATATTGATTGGTTGAATAAAATGTTTGTAAAATTGATTTTTTTGCAACATACTGTATTTTAATGGTAGTTCACTTTATGTTGTAATGTTTTTTTTATTACTCAGATTTTTTTTTACTGACAATGTATCTATATTGCATTCAAAACAATATCTGTATTTTTTAAATGCATACATTATTTTTTATTTTTTACATCTCTTTTTCTATGGAATTCATTAAGCTCTGTCAACCAAGTCTAAACTTAATGTTAACAGTGTTTGTCGACTTATGATCCACTATTGGTGTGTCCCTAGCATATCACCTGTAGAAGCCACAGTAGTAGTTAAAACCTAATGTTAATGTAAGAGGGAAGATTTTTTAACAAGTGCAGGGCTGTCACAACTGCACCAGCTTTGGCCGGCCCACTTCTCAATTCCATTACTTTTTAAATTAAATATATACTAATACCTATAAGAAGTTATTATTAATGTTCGCATTAAATTGTCTGGTCTTTTAAATGTGTATATTTAAAAAAAAAATCCACCATGTGCTCATTTTTGTATTGCCTAAATAAATTTGACAATCCTTAATTTTAGTAATTAAGGTTGATTTAAAAAAAAAATGTTTAGAGGTATAAATTTAAAATAACAATTAACTACAGTACAGTATTTATAAAATTTTGGGCGTTGTCATCACCACACTAAGGTATAAGGGTCTGATTCCGAAATGGTCAGGGATGTTTTCCTTTGAATGGTCCTCAGATCCACACCCTACTCCCGGATTGTCACAAAAATCTAATCATTTCTTTTCTATACCTTGACAAACTGTTATACAAAGTTTCAATTATACCTATTGATTATTTAAAAGAGATATTTAGGTCTGGGATCTCAAATATTTAAATGACCCTCAAATTTACACCCTTAACTGGATAGTCCCCAACACATAATAACTTTCCCAAACGCTTTATTCAGATCAGTTGACCCGTTTTTGAGTGTTTGCCCTTAAATCCATTTAATTGGTCCTCACATCCACACCCCTCTTTAGATTGGCTACTGTATTATTATTATTATTATTATTATTATTATTATTATTATTATTATTATTATTATTATTATTATTATTATTATGTTACTTAAGTCTGCCTTAAGGGAATACTGTAGTAGTAATAATAATAATAATTATCATCATTATTATGATGCATATTATTTTTTTATTTTCTAAATATTATTTTTATGATTTTTTATACTGAAATCTGCTAATAAAACAAAATGAATGGAGAAACACCACCTCAAACTTATAATAATAAGTGATTGTACTGTTAAATTGTTGTTTTTTAGCCAAACTATATTTTCTAATTGTTCTTTTTTTTTTTTGTTGATAATTTGTTATTAAAAACACATAGGGCCTACTGTAATTGTTTAAATATCTCGATAGTAGCTTTGGTATGAAGACAAATTAAATTTTATTATCATTACCTCCGCCAAGGATGTTACGTTTTCGCCCCTCTGAAAAAACTTCGCCCCTCTCAAACTTGGTCATAATGATCCATGACCAAAGATCTCTAGGTGATTAAATTTTTAAGGGTTATGGTCAAAGGTCAAGGTCACAATCGACGAAGAACTACTTTTTATATATAACAGTCCACAGCTAACAATTTTTATTAGAAATTTGTAAAACTAGGTCACTCACAATGTTCCATGACCAATAATATAAAGATGATTAAATTGTGAAGGGTCAAGGTCACAATCATAAAAAAAACTTTTTATATAATTATATAACAGACTACAGCCGACAATTATCAGAAATCCGTAAACCTTGGTCACAATGTTCATTGAATTGAATATGCTAGCATTTGGCCTATGAGTAAAATATTTAATAACTGACAATATCCTGTTCCTACACTCGGCCGTTGTTCATCAGTAACGCTTCTCTGCTTCTGATATAACATCTAATTTATTATACAGGTTGTATTAAGTACAGTATATAGAACCAACACGGATACTATAGAAACTGGTCTCCCTACTGGCTATTGATTGTTCTGTTTTCTTTAATCACGGCTTTGGTTAATATGACGCTCATATTAATGTATACTACTGGGACACGTCCATTGTCATGCGTTTGTGGTCACGCGTTTCAATTATGTTTATCTCGTGAAATTGGCTAACAACATGCAAGTGGATATAGCTGTATAACAACACGTTCGTTTACTTTATCAATAATTTCGTTTGTTAATAAAACCAAACTATTATTACTCATATCTCTACATCCCACAATGTCTAAGATTGCGTCTGGACTATCATTATTAAACATCATCAATAATATAGTCAAAAACCGCCTACGGTATGTAATTAGTGCATGCAAGATGCACTATACCGGTACGTACTGTAAGACGCCAACGGCGGCGGAAGCGGTGGGGGTCAAGGGGAGGGGTATTGGCCCACTCACTTTTTCTACGGGGGGCCGCGCAGCCCCCCCCCCCCACTTTTGTAACTGTTCCCAGCACCAGTGATAACCATTTTACGAACGCTGCAATAATAATAATTATTATTATTATTACCTGTATTATTATTATTTATTATTATTATTATTATTATTATTATTATTATTTTTATTATTATTACCTGTATTGTTATTATTATTATTATTATTATTTATTATTATTATTATTATTATTATTATTATTATTATTAATTATTATTATTTGGTGCTTAGACACCTTGTTTATTTGCGTCTTATAAATTGACGTATTATTATTGTTCAAATTCAAATTCGCTCCCCATATAGGGCAATTTATTCAAAACTCCAGGCCTCCGGCCCCTTGTAAAACAGATTATTACAAATTAAATTATATAAACCTAACCCTATCTAATATTTAATTAAATTACCAAATTTTGATTGACGTCTGTATACGCGCGTCTGTAAAGTTTCTAACGAAAATAACCCTCGAGCATGAAAAAAAAAAGAATGGAATCGCCTGCCTTCGTGAATTCTGTATTTAGGCATATGGGGGAAGGTAGGCACACTTAATGAAGCGACGCTTTAGTTCTCTTTACGCTAATAACATTCTCTGGAAGTTAAATACAGAGTTTACAGTACATTACAGTTAATGTGTTATAAGTTGTTAAAACTGTATTGAGTAAAAAAAATCTTTCGAATAAAAAAATCTTTCACTTGACATTAGGAATTAATCATTTGGGAAACAAAATGATAGGCTATGTCAAGTGTTATATTGAACAGTGGCAGCAGATTCAAGGGGGAACCCAGTCAGCACGGGCCCCAAACCTATTTCTTTTCAAAATTATAAAAATAAAATGAAGAAAACAGACAAAATTTTATTGGTGCCATAATCATAATTTTTTTTATTACCTCAGCCCTAACAGTTGTGGGGCTGAGGTGGTTTGACATTCTATTTGCGCAAGACCCGCCCTGGGTCCCCTCTATTTCGACTTCCTGGACCCACAACAGTTCGAGTATCATTCCGGGCTACATAGAATTTTAAGTCTGTAATTTCCGGCCATCTAGAGGTGCCATAATCGCAAAATTTCCTATCTCAGCCCCCCCCCCCCCATAGCTGGGGCTGAGGTGATATAAATCCTCCATCTGCTGAAGTACCCAGTGGCGAATCCAGCCGGCACGCCCCCTCCCCTCTTCTTCAATAAAAAATATGGAGATATAAAAATAATTATATTCTAATTTTATGTTTGGAAGTGCAATTTCCGGCCATCCAGAGGTGCCATAATCACTAATTTTCTTACCTCAGCCCCAACCGTAGTGGGGCTGAGGTAGTATACATCTTTTATCTGTGAAAGTACCCTCCCTGGGCTCTTCTATTTCGAATTGCTGGATCCACCACTGGAAATTACAGCAAATATGAAGTCATATTACAGTAGCTTGTTGCCTATAAAATAACTTATAAAATTCACCGAAATTTTTAAAATATCCGTAACTTCCAGGGGGATTCGCTTGGCGGCTCCCTGCCCCCCCCCCCCCCAGCTTAGATGCTCGCTTCGCTCGAAAACTGGACCTTATGAAATGGCCCCCACTTTCAAAAACGTTCCGCCGTACAGTATCATTGTAAATGTTCGGTAGCATGAATTCCAGTATCTTTGCTACCATAAAATGACTTAAAGATAGAACGATTGTGTAGCTCAAGCATATAAAAATATAAATTCTGTTTGAAATTATATATTAAATTACCGACTTTAAAATACAAATTAGAATAAAAAATCTTTTTGATTTATTATCAGACGCATAACTAATACAGATCTTATAGACTGTGCAAACAAATAAGCAAGCAGTCAAGCAAACAATTAAATAAATAATTGTTAAAAAAAAAATTTTCGTATATAAGAAATGAATAATTATGAAAACAACATTTATCGTCATAGGGCCTAAGTTACCGTTGATTACATTCCTTTTGTAAGACTTAAAATTTTGGTAAATTGTATGGTCCTAATTGGTACCCTTTCCGCTAAGCCCGACCCTTCGGATGTTGTTGCTAAGATCCCACAAAACGATAGTAAAAACATACACAAACACATGCGTTTGGAAGACAACACGTGTGTTTGTGATACACGCGCGCGTATTGGTGGCCATGTTGTGATTAGTCAGGTGTTTGATTGACTCTCCGGGGAAGGGTCTATATTATGGAATGAAAATCATTAGCTACCAAAAAAAAAAAAAAAAGAATATCTTTCTAGTTACGTTGATGACAAAATTAAAGTCTCAAGTTCTATACCATTTATTTAATATTATTTTTTTAAAATTTATCTATATTTATTTATATTTTTCTATGAAGAAATCATTTTGAGACAATTCTAATTTTTAGGTCGCTTGGTTAGACTTTAGGATTTAGCTTTTGGTTTGTTTCTTTTGTGTAACTTATAGCGCATGTAGCATGCGCTTTACAAGTCCCAAACCATTACCATTACCATTTTGATTACAAAATCGTAGTTTACCACACGTTTTATATCGTAAACTTGCTGTAACTATTTCAAAAAATGTTACCTGATATAAGAATAGCTCAATATATTCACCAATTGTGCTGATTGGATCAATAAATTATACACACATGTCTACT